TCAGAACTGAGCAACAGATGTCAAATTGCTATAAGTGTCAGAGCTCTTCATTTTTTTCATTTGTTCATTAAGTCCACTGCAGGATTCTCTCCTGTTGCAGGGAAGATTTGGCACAATCGTCATGCTTGGATGTAAAATCGCAGTACCAGACTTTTCGCACCTTTGATGCAGTTGACCGTTGCTGTTGTGTAGTTTACGTGTGACGTAAACGAGATGGTGTATCGCCATCTATCGGACGCCATATGATCTCTTGCGCATTTCCCATAGTTAACCATCTTTTCAAGGTCCCGCGTTCGAATCCCGAAGTTCGAAAAATAGTTATTGGGCTTTTCTACCAAGAATTTCTCAGTAGCAGCGCGAAATCAGGAAATTGGCTGTGTTTTACCCCCGTTTCTCGGAAAGCAGGTATTAGTAAAGTATTTTTACTTCGAGACATCGTGGTTATTAGTGATCTAGCTAGCCATGATGCGACATCTAAAACGAACAGACCTGTGATAGGAAGTAACATCTAAGGTGTAAGATGTCCAGTATATTATGGCAAAGTAATAAATAAAGGGGAAGGTAATTGAGGGAGATATCTGAGTGCGCCACTGGACTATTTACGGGGTGATGATGATGATTTTTATTATATTTAAATGAAACTATGAGCTGATGAAAAATGGAACAGTAATGCAGTTTTATCTCTATATGAAACAAGTATTTGTATGGATTCAAAGTAATATATAAATACAATATAAATGATACAATCATCCCATGTGTGTCGCAAGTGGCGACGGAGAGAAACAAATCAAAAGATGGGCAGCAGTGTTTTCCTAATTACGACTAAGTACAATAAAACAAACTGTGGTCGTAGTTTGCCAAGCGTGGTAATTATGGCAAATATCCCCCTCCCCTGAGGCATCTATGGAAGAAACCTATGTTCAGCAGTGAACCATATTGGGCTGTAACGGTAAAGTAGTTGTTCCGAGTACATACATAAACATTCACGCCTGTCACCCAGAGGGGTAGGCAGAGACTACAGACTTCCATTTGACACGATCCTGACACACCTCTCTCGCCTCCTTCACATCCATACACCTACGCATACTTGCTCGTCGGTTAAGGGTACTCCTAATTTGGCCCGTTTTCAATAAATCGCCAATTTGGTCGATAAATTTTCGCCTAGGTCGTCCCTTTCCGACTCTGTCATTCACTTCTGCAACATAAATTTTCTTTGTCACTCTTTCCTCATTCATTCTTTCCACATGACCAAACCACCGAAGCATTCCTTTCTTAATCCTGATCACAACGTCATCTTGCAAACCACACTCTTCTCTTATTACACAATTTCTTACCCTGTCGTTCAGATTCAGCCCTAACATACTCCTTAACGACCGCATTTCTACTGCGTTGATTCTACTCTCGTGCTTCTTCTGCCACACCCAACTTTCACTACCATACGTTAAAGTAGGGACCAACACAGCATTGTGAATTGCCATACGTGCCTTTTTTTGACACATTTTGACTCTTCACAATAGAGTGCAGGGCCCCATTTACTCTATTTCCCGCATTCACTCGTCGTTGTATATCCGTATCATATCTCCCATCCCTGCTAAATACGCAGCCCAAATATACAAACTCATCTATTGTTCCGAGTATGTTTCTTGGAATTGGATTACTTAGAAACTTTGGGTTATACTAAAAAGTCTTATTTATGTAATACTTCAATAACTACTCCAATTTATGTAAAGTGAATAATTTATTGTTACAAGAAAGGTCTTTGATATTCCATTATTATTTCTATGTTAATAGAAGTCTAATTTATGCGAGTACGTGAGGTGTCAATTTATTTTTGTTAAAAGCAAAAAAATATAGGTAAGTATTTTATATCTTTATTATGATTGTTAAAATAAAATAAATATTTACCACGAATAATCGAAGATCCTGTATACATACATTTTTACAGCAGATTGACTTTTGTTGAGAAACAAACGTAGGTATGTTTTGAATATCCAAATACAAAATTTGAACATAGTCCATGGCACGACTATGTTTTTATCATTTTTGATTAAATATATTCAATGTTATAGACACACTTACAGAACATAGATCCTTTGTTTATAATTAATTATAGTAAGCATGGCTAAAACTTGTTTAAGGTTAGTCTGAATTAGATTTCGCAACCGATTGCGGTCTCGATTTTTTGAATAATTCATGAGTTGTTTGTGTTAACACAATACTATGGAATATTCATTTCCTAGAATAACGATTGATGTTTTCATGTATTGACTGGCCTTAATTATCTGTGTCTTTATTGATTATACTTTTATAATATATGTGTCCTCGCCAACTTGGTTCGTCGGAAGAGATCATTTTCCTGTGTAATTATTAGGATTCTCGCACAAAGAGACATTTTGTTTTTTATGAATGCCCTCTCATTTTCATCAGCCCACTAAATACTCCGAGGAGACTGGTCCTCTCTCACAGTAGAGAGACATATTTCTTGGAACTCATTTCTTGAGAGTCAGTAACTGGGTTAATTCTTAGCACTCTTTTGGTTAAATGACAAACGACCTAACATAATAATAATAATGTCCTTCGGATTTCGAATTTCGGCTACGACGGCCTGCTTCAACGGAGATACAGAGACAGAACCGGATTATAGTGCCTAAGTGCAAGCACAGGTGCTCTCTCTATTCCCTCACTCTCATAATCCGATGGGACGGTAAACCGACACAACCGGAGAGAGATCAGGCGCAGCACGAACGGCTTTACGTGCTTTCCGAGGCACGGGGGTGAGTCACCACCAACTTCCTGACTCCGGGCAACTACTGAGAATTTTTAGACGGAAAAACTTAATAATTAATTTTTTGGCCCGACCCGGGATTCGAACCCAGGACCTCATGATCAGCAGTCACACTACTACAACCACCAGACCAACGAGGCAGTCAACCTAACATATCCACCTGATGATAAGTGGCTATATCATTCAATGGAAATCTGCAAATAACTTCAACAAATAAGGCCACAGGTGCGTTTCTAGCTTGAGTACTAAGTATAAGTGCTTTTCACTGACTTTTTATACTCCAAACCATACGAAGTGAGCACAACCTTTTTCTACGTGGTAGAGCCATGCTGCAGTTACGAGTATATTAGTATAGTATAGTTTTAGCACGAATGGGTCGGTTCGACCGGGGAAGGACCACGCTCTCACAGAATTCCAGCGTAAAATAGTAGCTTAATGCTGCTGTGTTTCGTATGGTAAGTGTAGAAAACCGGAGACCCTTTTTACTGGAAAGGAGGCATTTCATCTTAGTCCTCACGGGTGACAATGCATATGCATTTTGATTCGTAATCTAGGATAGATGTAGATGTCTATGGGCCACAGGAACCACTTACCATCAGGTGGACAAAATGAAGCCATGCCACCACCTGTAGCATCATCGACTACAGAAACGTAAATATTAACTACATAACGATGTGTAAAAATGAAGTGATGCCTTGGTCTCTTCATTAATAAAAAAAAAGATTTAACATTGTTAGATTGATTTAAATACACGTAAAAATTTTCCAACCTAGTAAACCGACAAAACCTAATGAATGGGATAAAATGGAATTTTACCCGTATCGTTAGATATAGTAAAATATTTTTATTCAATATATTATCTATAAATAGCAGTGGGTAGGTCAGGGGCTAAGCGCACCCTGTAAATTTCGCAGTACGCGAGTAACCCGGGTACGATCCTCGTCGGCACTGATGAAATTGTTAATTGAAATTTTTAACTCTTTTACTGTCCCGTGTACTACATGTAGGTCATTGCTATTCTCTTACTATTGTGTTTGAAAACCGGACAGTGAAAGTGTTAAGTGCTGATTTACCACTTGCTCAGCGGTGAACGAAAACATCGTTAAGAAACTTTAATGTCTGAGAAATAGGAATAATATATATTTCGAAGACATGTAAAGTTTGCCAACACGCATTGTACTAATGCGCCAATTGCGAATTGCAACCAATTGCGCGACGGACATTTCCTTACCCTAAAACCACGGTAATATTATATAGATAAAATTACCGTGCTAAAACTCTCAGAAATGAGAGATGGTCTGTGCCCAGCAGTAGTACATGTATGGACTGTAACTTTAACATTTTTATTGTTAGGCTCCAAATTGGTTAAGTTCAACGACTTTAAATTGCATTTTTATAAACATTAAATCAATAAAATAAAATAAAATAATTTACAGACACACAGACGGCTGACATTGCATTTTTAACTAACGATTTCTGTCATGTTGATAAAAACAATTACTGGTTATTATGTCCTCCATCTTGTATATTAAATTTACTTAGTAATTTTTATAAATTTTAATCGTATTGTTTTACTTTTAGATTTAAGCACCAATGACTTTATGTGCTTTCCAAGGCACGGTAAGATGCCGAGGACTTCCTGACTCTGGGCAGCTACTGAAAATTTCTTAACGGAAAAACTCATTAACCGATTTTTTTGCCCAACCCCAGATTCGAATCCGAGACCTCATGACCAGTGGACACTAATGGTCATCAATACGACTGCTGATCATGAGTCTACTGACTGACAGTCATACCAATTATAACAGTTATACCACAAATATTCCACTTAATACACAATATCCATTACAGGATATCTGCCATAGTTGGCACGTTTGGCAAGCAACTTACAACAATTTGAAAATATATTGAACACTATCACCACTATTTTACTAAGAATAGAAGCGACAATTAGCGCATATGACTGTATGACTTACGTAGTAACATTGTTTAATCTGTGTATGACTCAGTTATTGCAGAATATAGTAGTTATGTACCTTATTTCTTCCGAGAAAATAAACTTCATCCCCACTGAGTTATTATTGTTAAAAAAAACTCGTTATACTGACGTGACTGGGTGTGACGGACGAAAAAACGATCTTAATTCAGTATAAAATGTCAGCGTTTGGATGCTCGGAATTAAACTAACTTCAGCATTTGTCAAGTTAACTCCTAGCCAAAAAATTATTTAGGTATTTATTATTCTTATTATTTTATATTAAATAACAAACATTTAGTACAATTTTTTATTGTTTAATTGTTAGATATTTTTTTAAATTATTATTATAATATATTAAATAATAAAAATTTAGTACAATTTTTTATTGTTTAATAGTTAGATATTTTTTTTAATTTTTTAGTTCAGAATAATGCTCATGTTCTAGTTCGTCATTATTTTAGTTTGTTATTATACCTACACGGTCTTCTTTAAGCGTCCACTCCATATTTAAAAATGAGTAAAATTCTAAAAAGTATACAGTTTTATTTTCATGAACTCGAAATTCGAATTCAATAAACTTTTTTGTGGCCAGCATACTATAAGAAAAGTTTTTACTGTGTGACAATACTTATGACCCGACTAGGTATATATGAACATCAATTCATTAATATTTTTTCTTTGATTTAATTTGTTTTTTTTTTATCTAGGTCGTATATATTCTACAGAAAAGCTATATTCATGATATAATTTTTAGAATGAAGAGCTTCACTGCGTTGTGTCTGCTGGCCGTCCTGGCGTACGTGTCTGCTGTACCCTCGGGAACCTACACTGATCGTTACGACAACATCAATCTTGATGAAATCTTATCCAACCGCCGCTTGCTTGTTCCTTACGTCCACTGCATACTCGATAAAGGAAAATGTACACCCGAAGGCAAGGAGCTTAAATGTAAGTTGTTCTCATATTGTGACCATTGTAATTGTGTATACCTTTTTAAGAGTATTAAGTGAACACAATGTTCTTTTCTACATCTATCGAACTACAAATTAGATACATCCATAAATATATAATTTTAATGATTCATGTGCTGGCATTGACTGTGTAGTGGCGGTGTAAGAATATCCACTAATCTACATCGTCTCGTGGACAAAAGAAAAAATTAAATGTGTTTTCATCTGTGATTGCCAACCTGTCTGCCAAGAAACATCCCCTTTATGTGACAGACTATGGGGGAAGCCTATATTTAGTTGTGGTCTTTCAGTACTAATTTAAGACTCCACAATAAGTGTGAGTGTTTTAATATATATACAGGATGACCTCTTTTACCGTCTGGAAAAAATAGGGTGTAACATATGAACGGGGTAGAAGCTTATGACACTGATATTTTACAAAAAATAAACACAAAAAATTTGAATTTAATAAATAAATCGATTAAAATCCATCGAAATTCAAATAATATCCACCCTACTTTACGAACGGCAATAAAACAATAAATTTAGTAGTTATCTTTGAACTTGTCACTTCGCAGGGTCACAGGCTCAAGGGCAAAGGGCAAAGTAATTGTTATATCATGATCAGTATATATACATTATTAAAATATATAATCTTTATTATTCATAAATTCGAACTAAATCTGGTTTCGCGAATATTAAAATTGTTTTAAATTCAACCCTTATACTATATATTATTATTTAAATACGTATAGCACTGAATATCTATCGTGAAATTATGCCATGTGGTGGCGGCATTTATCCCATTTCGTTCCAACGCCAGAAAGGCATTTTGGCTTCGCATACATAGGGGTATAATCGTCTGATGTAGCTTTAAAATATAGATATAGATTTAAAATAGGTACTCGGATCGGCTATGGAGCAGCGTTAGGGGTGCAAGGCGTACGTTGCTGTGATTAATAATCTACCAAGCGTGGCACATGTGGTAATTTTTTTGATCATGCCGGAGATGCTAATGAAAAACAGTGGAAAGCTATTGCTGATGAAGAAGATACGACATGAATACGACTTGAGAGACGCGTATACAGACGTAAATAATACGAACTGTCTCGGTAGGTAGTTCTGACACAACGTACAGCAACAGATCTATTAAAAACTTGTTCATCATATATTAGAAAGAAAGAAAGAAAGACCTTTATTCACTGGAACTGTACACGTCACAAAAATGAAATAAACAGTTAAAATTTAGCAGATTAATATTACAAGTGATGAGGTGTGTATCGAGCCAGTGAAAAGGTTACGACTCAGCGTAATGCTGCAGGGTAACCTACAGCGCTGATGATTCTGTCATAACCACAGATACACGCACGATCCGCCTGGGTGTATTTTATGAAATACGTTTTTATCGCATAATAAATTAAAACTAAACGTTGCTCATCAATATACCTATATATAATTAGTCCTATGTATAAGTACATTAGAGATACACACATACGTAGAAGACATACTCGTAATTATACACATAAATTTAATATAAAAATGAAAAAATTTTAAATTCTAAAGTACATACACATATACACAGACACATATATACACGTTACGTTACGTATGTATACATAACATATATATATATATATATATATATATATATATATATATATATAATACTTGGTAAATACACACTAAAAACAAACATAATGCTCAACGATGCTGTAATAAACATCTGCTGTAGGCTTAAGGTTGAGCTTTTTGTAAGTGTAATAAATGATTTTTATAGTGTGATTTAAAATTTTTATAGTGTGAGACAAAATTATACTTTGAATTACACTCACGAATAGGTGGAGGAATGTCGTTCCAGCACCTAGTAGTTATATATTAAAAACTACATCTAAAAGCTGCAAAACAGTAAGTGGGGTTGGCGAGTGGGTTCGTACAAGACCTGATGTTTTGTCGATTTCTCCATATAAGATTACTATATAAATATAGTGGCGACGTTTTCACAACATCAAACAGTACATTAGCTAGTTGTAGTTTCTGCCGCGCTTTCATTTTTAAAATGCCTGCTTCATTGAAAAAAGGTTACATGAGACCGTTTCGGTATTGAGAAGCAGTATCGTGCACATGCATTTTGTATACGTTGAATTAGACGTTGTGACTTTTCCAAAATACAGGGTCCATACACTGCAATGCAGTGGTTTAATTTTGATAGAACGAGAGATTCACACAGTCTAATCCTTAAGTCCAGCTGAATATATTCGCGGATTCTATATAAAACCTTTAACCTATAAAAGCAGTTGCGGACAAGCTCAAGTAGTTTTTCAAAACGCAGTCTGCCATGGATGGCAGACGGCGTTTTGAAACGTTTTGTAACCTCAGCTTAGTTATGGATAACTAAGCCGAGGTTACGAGCTTCACTTACACGCTTCAGAGGGACATTTAACAACATGATTTTAGGGTTTTGATTCTCTAAAAAAATTATTTGGTTTTTCGATCCTAAAAGCATATACTTATTTTTTAGTGGGTTTAGAACGATTGATGTTACTAATTGTAGGATGAAATTCAAGCGAATTTTTGCAAAAATGCATGCAATTAGTTATATCAGCAGTGTAAATTATAAATAACAACGGTCCTAAAATAGAACCCTATGGGACACCTCTATTAAGTGGTCGTTGTTCAGAAACAAGGGAAGACCCATTCGGTTGATTATTACTCGTTGTGAATGACCGCATAAGTAACTTTGAAACCATTTTATGGAAGATGTTACGAAACCATAAAACAATAGCTTAGACAGAAGCAAACTATGTTAATAGAATCAAATGCTCTTGAAAAATCAAGCAGGGTAAGAATCGTACCTCTACCAGAGTCTTGTGATGTAAGAATATTGTCAACCACGTCGAGTAAAGCAGTAGACGTGCATCTACCTATTCTAAAACCCGACTGTAAGTCAGGTAAAATATTGTAATATTTATATGATATATACAATATTACGTATATATTTGTCTAGCTATATACTATATATACTTTATTGAAAACATATTTAATCCTACATCGTGTGACTTTTAGTTAATAAAAATAAATCTGACGCAGATAACCCAATACGTCGGGAATTATGTAAATCAGAACAATTGTAATTAGTAACGTCATCATATTACGTAATATGTTTAATATATCAAAATATTCCACCATTGTAATTATTCACCTTCACCTATTGTAATATTTCCAATTAACGCCAAGAAGAAGAGACCGGCTCGCTGCAAACGTTACAAAAAACCATGTATGTTTTATACGAATAAGTATGCTAATTTTTCTTAATGATAGGTAATAAAAAATACGTGCTTCTATACCTTCTTTGATTATATACATACTTTTTGTTAGGGGGCTCATTTTAAAATTAAATTCATTAAAAAGATTATGTGTATAATTTGTACTATTGGATATATGGACGTGTACATGTTCTAGTTTTATAATTTGTTGAAATTTATTGTGTTACAGCATCCTCTTATTTATAATAGAACGCCGCTGCTAAATATTATTTATCCCATCAAAACCTCTTAATCTTAAAAAATATGTTTATAAAAAATATACTTTCTTTTCTGTGCGGACGAAATTGTTACAATATTGACGTGTGCATGCCGCATCGAAATCGGTTCTCGGCAAGGCTAATGGTCCATGCTCTCGTATCGATCAATCAAGAAACGGCCTTAGCATTTTTCATACAATTTATTTATGCATCTGTGACATTGACAATTTATATTTTATAAGTGACTTGACCACCTTCGCGTTTTCTTGCAGCTCACATCGGGGAGGCGGTCGAGAACGATTGTGCTAAATGCACAGAAAAACAGCGCGAAGGCACACGGAAAGTAATAGGACACCTGATTAACCATGAAAAAGAGTTCTGGCAGGAGATCACCGCGAAATATGACCCTACCCACAAACACTCGGCTAAATACGAAAAGGAACTGACTAAGGCTTAATCGCGGATACCATCATCTAATCCAGATTAATTTATGGGTTAGTGAAAACATAGAAAAATGGTTAATTTTATATCCAGCCCTTTACTTTGTTTTTAGTTATAAATTATTGATCTTATTTTATAAAAGGGATTTTTATTTATTTGTTAAATATTATTTATATCTCAAAAGTACATAAAAAAATCTCATTAAGTGTTTGTTTTATTGATTTTTTTTCAATTTTAATAATTAATATATTTCCATTGACTAAAGTCATAATTAAAAATAATGTGCGTAAAAAACTACTTTAACATTAATAAAAAAAACTAAGATAATCATATATTATTACCTATGACTTCGTGATGAATATGTTGTCTGTTTGCGATATAGCGCTAAAATGTTGGCCTTGGACCGTTCTGGTGTCCCTTTTGCCATTCTCGTTCTCTACAGCTTGCAATATATTGTCATCTCTGAAAGATACGTGATATGTAAACACTATATGGATTTTATCGCGCTTAATTTAATTATTTTTAATTCCCGAAGTTTTGGGTGCCTTTCAGCACCCAAGGTCACGGAGGAGTCTGATATATTTGACGCCCCAATGTCATAGTTAGCCCGGCTACCTACAGTTTTTTTATATTAATTTTTGGTAGATACGAGAAGAGCTTAATTATGAAGGGAGGTGAGTTTTGTTAATTATAGGATCCCAAGCAGATGGCAGCACCCATTCACTTCTCTATTGAAATTCGGACGTCTTTTTTTAACTTTCGATAGCCTCGCGTATCATTCTGGTAGGAATCGGTGTTCCTTTGGTAAGATTTGTGGTTTATTAAATCTGACGTTATGGTAGGGACGATCTTGAACATGTTGACATGTTCACAGACTGCAGACCATGAATGCCCCCGTGACCATAGGTGCTGTAAAGCTCCCGAAACGCCGGGAATTAAAAAATATGTCAATTAAATATGTCAAATTGTTTCGGGTGCTTTACAGCACCCATGGTCACGGGGGACTGAGATGTTTGACGTCCCAATGTCATTGCTAGCCCGGCTACCTTCAGTTTTTGAATATTAATTTTTGGTCAGATTTACGCAAAACGAACTTACAGTATCTTGAAACTTATTACTATACGTATACTTCAAGATACTGTAAGTTCGTTTTGCGTAAATCTGACCAAAAATTAATATTCAAAAACTGAAGGTAGCCGGGCTAACAATGACATTGGGACGTCAAACATCTCAGTCACCCCGTGACCATGGGTGCTGTAAAGCACCCGAAACGTCGGGATAATAATAAAAATAAATTAAAGTAATTAAACGCGATAAAATCCGTAAATAATAGTTTTATTCAATGTGTAGTGTTCGCGTAAATTTAAGAAATCATTATTGATTTAGTCAATTCATTATTAATTTTCAATTAAAAGTTTTTGTAACGAGGTTTGTCTTTACCGGTTTTGCTATTAATTATACTCCACATCATTTTTATTTTATTTTAAACAGTCTTAATTTAATTGCTAATATGTAAAGATTTGGCTAAGAAGCACAATCTTTTTTGACATTTTAAAATAATTAAACTAAAACTTTCAAAAAGATTATATGATCTTTCATTAAGCATTTTGCATTAATCGGAACAAACACAGTTTTCTTAATTTCCTGTTTTTTGTGCATATAAGTTAATGAAACCAGTCCAAAGTGATCTGAGCTTAGTTTTTGAATTATTAATTTGTTGATTGGTACATCTTGTGATGGCCCATTTTTATTAAGCACAAATTTAAAATAAATTAAAAGCTCAATATTGTCTTTCACAATTAATAGATCTATTAAAATCTTTGATAAAATATTCTAAATGCGATAAATAATAGAAAATATTATAAAAATTAAGTTAAATAACATTTTTATAAAATAATTGGAAAATTGGTCAAACATTGCCTAAGTCATGAAAGGAGTTCGTGTATAAAAGAAAATGGTCTAAGTAACTGAGCATGTACATGTATAAGAAAACTAGCTGTTACCCGCGGCTTCGCCCGCATAGTCACTGGGAAATGAACTATCCATTGCTTTTTGAATTGAAAGAAAACTGAGTTTTATAGATTTGTCAGAGATGCAGCCATTAAAAGGAAACTGAGCAAAATTGATTCGTCAGCCTATTTAAATGTTTTGAAACGCAGCGTATAGGAAAGCATGAAAATAGCCTGTTGATTCCAAATGGAAATGGGATATTTTTTTTAATTAAAGGAAACTGAGCATAATTATCCGTCAGGGATGCAGACTTTTGAAAAGAAACTGAGCTAAATTGATTTGTCAGATATGCAGTTTTCTGAATTGAAAGGAAACTGAGCCAAATAAAAGATCCGTCAGAGATACAGCCTTTTGAGTTGAAAGGAAACTGAGCTTAATAGGTCCGTCAGAGGTGCAGCATTTGGAATTGAAAACAAACTGAGCTAAATAAGAAATTTTGAATTGAAAGGGAAGATCTGTGGGAATTCTGATTAAGTGATTGTGGGAATTTTGGAAAAAAAACTAACTGAACACTATTTTAAGACGCCACTGAACACAATGTTATATGTTTTACCATTCGGGGAAAGAATGTGGAGATTCTGGGCATTTGATACACGCGAACATGCTACATACAGCTGACCATGAGAGAAGCACGGCTTTTCTAAGTTGACCCCCGCTACCTGTAACGTTTACCCTTGCGATTTATTAATTGTCATTGCATGACTGAGCTTAATAGGGAACTGCAACCTTTTGAATTGAAAAGGAAGATCTGTTGGAATTATAGGGATCCGTGGTATAATAATATAAAACGCTCGCAATTAATTTGGAATGACTCTGTACCAAATTACAAAAATCTTTCGTCAATTTAACGCAGCCCTCAGCATCCGTTACCAACCGCCCATCGCCAATTTTAATAGTGTGTCAGCATAGTTTCCAGCATTGATATCATTATACAAATACACTCTCATATTCTTTTTTTTTTATAGGATAGGGTGACAAACGAGCACACAGTCCACCTGATGGTAAGTGGTTGCTGTGGCCCATAGACATCTACATCTATCCTCAATTACGAATCAAAATGCAGATGCGTTGTCACTCGTGAGGACTAAGATGGAATGCCTCGTTTCCAGTAAAAAAGGGTCTCCGATTCTCTACACTCACCATACGAAACACAGCAGCATTAAGCTACTATTTCACGCTGGTATTCTATGAGAGCGTGGTCCTTCCTCGGTCGAGCCGACCCATTCGTGCTACAACTATACATCTAATATAACTGCAGCATGGCTCTACCACGTATAAATTCGTAGTTAAACTGAATTTTGTCACCTTTTTCCATAAAATAGACGACTTGAGGCATGCTTTAATTTCATCTGCAGGTGTGCCCTTTTGAATGACAGGTAAAGTTTGGTGAAAGTCACCAGCCAGTAAAACCACCATTCCTCCCATTACATCGGTATTGCTGCGCAAATCCTGGAGCGTTCGATTTAGTGCTTCTACAGCTTTTTTATGCGACATTGTACTTTCGTCCCACACTAAAATTTTGCATTGTCGTAACATTATACCTCGTGCACTGTTTTTGCTAAAGTTGCAGATCGGCGATTCTTCCTGGGCTAGATTTAGAAGGTGTTTTAAAACAGAATGTGCAGTGCGGCCCCCGCTTAGCAGCGTGGCGGGTATACTGGAGGAAGCTACGGCCACAGCAATGTTTTTATCTTTCCGTACTTGCGCTAATAATAAATTTAACAAAAATGTCTTCCCAGTTTCTCCAGGGGCATCTAAAAAGAAAAGTGCACTATTTCCAGATTCAATTTGTCCTAATACTTTGTCAAAAACTCGTTTTTGTACGGGAAGCAAGCGGGGTACAAATTCGGCTACTTGCTGCTGCAAAGCTGGTATATCGTAGTTTGTTACACGTATAATTTCATCACTTAGTTCATTTTCGGTTGTTCGCTGAGGGCTTATCATTCCAAAGTCTCTTAATTTTTTGCCTATCATTGCCATTACTTTATCTTCAATTTTTCCAAGTGCTTCATTATAAATGTGTTCATTGTATGTCATGTTCGCGTGTGTCTGCTGTAACCTTCACAAAATATCTTCCGCCGTGTACTCTTTATATTTGTCCCACAATTAATGTGCATTAGATAGCCCGCAAGATGATATGAGAGTTGCATAAAGATCCCTAATTTTGGCTGGTGGCACTGCACAGCTTCCTCCATGGTTTCATTCCAGTGATTATCGCTTCACATGCTTCTCTATAAGTGGCGCATTCCTGACCGTTGACAGTTTTAAGGTCTTTATATCCTGTAGGACCCCGAACATGGTGCAGCAGCAATCGTAAACAGAAACATTCAAAATTAGTTACATGGACGTTATACACACGACCAAGGGCATCTGTTGACTTTACACCGGGCCATTTTGTAACAGGCGCGCCTTGCATACGGCCTTTCCACTCCTTCCTAGATGTGTTTCAAGTATAATAGCGGGGGACTTTAGAATATAACAACGTTTTTGCAAAGGGATCGGTTTGACAAAGTTGAAAGAAGGCTATTAGTGTAGTTTTTGGCGGTGATGCAATTCTTTCTTGGAAATTTCTTTCGGTGAAATATACACGCTCTCCATTTTCTAAGTGCACAGCAAGGTGAGTAACCGTTGGGTGCCTTTCGTGTAAAGGGAAGCCAAGGAGACGCCACGCTGCCCCGTTACTGCTGACATAACGCCCTGCTTGATAGGTCTGTATATGCATTAACGGGATTTACCTCACCTTCACTCCTGAGATTAAATATTGCTTGGTCGCTTCCTTTATTTATGTACTTACAGATATACTTGATTGCGCGGACAGAGCTGCATGCTTCTACATTAATGTGGGCATTAAACATTTTACATAGAATGGGCGAATACGGGACAATCCAGCTGTTATCTAAGGTTTCGAACGCTCCAGAGCGAGATTTGATTGTAACTTTCCTGCCACCATCTTCGGGAGCTCTGCGTCTGTATAAAGCGTAGCGATTGTCATTGTGCACTGTTTCT